TTACTAGGCGCCGATTGGTTAGAATTATTTGAGCTATGTGATTAACCAATTAATTCATTCTGTGGAAAAATAGTGTTCATCAGACAAAAAGATTACAGTTAAATAAAAGTTAAGGAAACTGAAAAATAAATTCATGAATATTTTCTCAGAGGAGTTGGTAAAATGTACAAAGTCAAAGGCATTTTTTTAAATTGAAAGAAAATGTGATAGTGCCTAAGCCTAAAACAGGGATCGGCAACTCATTCGACCCCGCGGGCCCGATTGTGTTATAATGACGGGTCGTGGGCCGGACGAAGGCCATTAATGAAAAATTAAGGAAAATTACATATGCAGACTCCTGCCAACCTAAATATTTAAAACCATAATGAAAATAAACATTGAGAAATCAGAAAAACAAAAGAAAATCTAAAATTAAAAAACACCTAACAAAAATTACTTTTCCTCAAGGAATGTCAAACTCAAAATACTTCAAAGTGAAAAAAATCAACCGAAGTGAAATGGATGAAATTATGACATGTAGATTTGAAACAGTTATTGAAAATTGTTCCACAAACGAACCACACACACATCAAACAAAAACAAAGCACATATACCTATACATACATGTACAAATAGTTGCAAACATATACACTTACGTACGTACACATGCGGTATCATCCACACATTCATGAGGCATGTATGTATAATGCGCGTATGTTTAACTGTCTTTAGATTTCTGCTACCTCGCATGTCAGTCCCTCCCTGGCCTCTTTCACTTTATCGTTCCTTTCGCTTCTGTTATCTTTTAATGTAGCCAAAGGTCATAACAAATATGTATCCATTATTAAACGTAGGCAACGCAACTTGGTAAAATAAGTCTCATGAAAGATAACTGGCAGATAGTCTAATTCAAAAGCCTTGTCTCTCATGTTAAAAATAGTCATTGGTAATCAGGCTTGCGGGCCGGTCAAAATGCCTTCACGGGCCGGATCTGGCCTACGGGCTGTAGGTTGCTGACCCTTGGCCTAAAAGAAAGATGCCTTTTGCTGCATTGGAATCTATTAACATCGAAGTGGATAGGTTAGAAAATTGTATGGAGTTATTGAAAAAAATAGATTATTCTGAATGGGCCATGTCAGTGGTTTACATTAGAAAGAAAAATAATAAGATTTGTTTATATACAAATTTTTCAACTGGACTGAATGACTGCCTCCTACCACATGCATAATACCTGCCAACTCCAAAGGATATATTTGCCAAATTAAATGATGGTAATTTTTTTTTTCAAAAATTGACTTGTCTGAGGCATATCTTCAAATTGAAATGGATGAGGAATGCCAGAAGTATTTGACTATTAATACACATTAAGGAATCTACAAGTTTTAAAAAAATTACCCTTTTGTTGGTTGTTTTGTTTTATGGCATATCAAAACCTCAGTGGGTCATTTAATGCCAACAAAATTTTGAAATAGATTCATAGTGACAGTTTGGTAAAAAAGGTGTGTATGTATACATATATATCTGAACCATTTTTCAATTACTCATATTTTTGAGTACAATCCAACTTCTTTTAGAAAATTTACAATCTTGGATGGTTTTATTACTCATTTGGTTTGATTTTGGTTTGTTTTATGGCATATCAACCTCAATGGGTTTTTTAATTCTGACAAAATTTTTTATTGCTGGTAATTTTTTTTTTTTTCCAAAAAGATATTGCTGCTAATAATTTTTTTTTACAAAGTATTTCTGGTATTAAAACCTATTTTCACACTTTCATAGTATTTTGACCCAAGTCTGGATGTTAACTATTTGCCCATAGCTGGGACCCTAACAGATGCTACCACCCCAGGTCAGGGTGAACCTCGGAACAACAGCAATTAAGAGGTGGTTCCATGCTCATCAAAACCTTCTGAACAGAGGCCTTGCTATTAGACAGTTTATCATAATACCCAGGACGGAAATTACCCTTGGTGTAAAAGTAGCCCCAGGTACTTTCCAGCAAATACTGGATACAATGTTGACTGGACTAGACCGTGTTGTCGCTTACATATACGATATACTAAGATTAAGAGTGCTATGAAAATACAGCACGTAAAATTGATTCAGGAAGTATTTCAGAGACTACATGATTACGGTTTCAAAATCAGCGAACAGAAAGGTCAATTCTTTCTAGCCAATATTAAATTTTCAGGTCAGCTAATTGATGAAAAAAAGGAAGACCAGATCATGCTCGAGGAAATGTCATTAAAGACATGCCTCACCCAACAAATTTGGTAACCCTACAATCATTTCTCAGATTTGTGAATTATTTTAATATTTATGAACTAGGGATATACAAACTGTGAGCATCTCTGAATAATTTACTTAAAAATGGTACGAAATGGAATTGGTTGGCGAAATGTTAAAAATCTTTTGAAGAAATTAAAAAATTACTAACTTCAGAGTTATCACACTATGACCCACACTGATAGATTAATAATAGCGTTGGATGTGAGTGAATATGGCAAAGGAGTGGTAATAGGTCATAAATTTGAAGATAGTATAGTGAAAGCAGTTGCTTATGTTTCAAGAAGTTTGACAAATACAGAAAAATGCTACAGTCAATATAATTTTTGCTGTAAAGAAATTTCACAGGATGATATTAGTAAGAAAATTCATACTGCAAATTGATCATCATGCATTATTAAATATATTTGGTTCTAAGAAAGGGGTTCCCACACATGCTGCAAATAGACAACAGTGTTGGGCTAGGATTTTGTTGAACTATGATTTCAAGATGGAATTTCTATCATCAAAGATAATGGGACACACAGATGGCTTATCCAGATGTAGAGAAGATTTTGAATATACTGTGATTGCTTCAAATGAATCTGAAAGCGAAATTAAAATCCTAGTGTGTAATACTATTAAAGAATTACTGGTCACAATAGACAATATCAAAATTCATTCTAAAAAGGATATGCTTATTCAAAAAAAACTATGAATGTCATTAAATCAAAATAGAGTGAAACTAAAATTAAACCTGCTTACAATAAGACAGCATTTTCTATTTGTGATGGAGTACTTTTGTACATGGATTGTGTTGTAATTCCATTATTGCTACAAAAAAGGATTTTAAAACAATTCCACGTAGAACATCTGAAAATAGTGAGAATGAAGTCCTTGATGAGAATCAATGTGTATTGGTCAAAGTTGGATAAAGATATCCAAAATATAATTAGAAAATATAATGTTCTCTCTCTTGTTCTTGTAACGGCATTCACCCAAGGTGGGTTGAGCCGGCTCCAATATTGGAGTTTCATGGGAATTTGGAATTCACAAGTGGTCCCCAACCCGCATGTATAGCACATGAGATTTGATTATAGTGGTGAAGGTTTCGTGCAGGACCATCCACACTTTATGAAGAGCCGATTACAGAGACTTGGTGCACTACGTGCCACAGGGTTCCCAAACGACCCTCTGCAGGTTTTGAATTCAGTTTTCCTTCTCATAGACCAGTTGCCATCCAAGGCTATAGAACCCAGTCTGTCCTGCTATTTACCCATAGCTGGAGGGAGAAGAAGAGGATTCATACCTTTCCCAAGGGTATTAGCACGTAAGTGAATGTAATGGATTCGAGTGGAATTCAAACTCGGCTCTCTGATTCCTCAATCCAAGATGATATCCATTACTCCACCATGCCTCCTCAGAAAATGTAATGGTTGTAATTCAGTAGCAAAGTCACCACTTGATTGCAATGCAATGAAGACATAATAGTGTCAATGAGAATTTGAATTCACACACAAAAAAAAATTTTGTTTCCTCTCACTTAGCTGGTAAAATTCAAAATTCATGGAAACAATTTTGGTGGAGTTGGTGTATATTGATTGAGATTTATGACATATCAACCTCAATTGGTTATTTAATGCCAACAAAATTTTTATTGCTGGTAATATTTTTGCCAAAAATGTATTGCTGATAATACTATATTTCCTTCAAAATTGAAAAAGAAATTATATTATTATCTCCAATTATTTTTCCTTCAAAACTATATTGCTGGTAATGGGAGTTGGTGTATATTCATAGCACAACACAAAGTTGATGAACTTTAAGGTTGTATGATATATATAGCTATTAGGAAGAAATAAAAACCTTTTCTTTCTAGTTAAGGACTACTGGTACAAACAAAATGCACTATGGAAGAATTGAAGATATTTATTCAGCAACTATTACAACAAATGCAACGGGAGTGGGTTTGAGCATAGTAACTTTGTTCAAAGTGTTGATTATGCTAGTTAATGCACTCTCTCCTAGAAACTGCATAGATATTTTTTATTTTAATCATTTCACCCATAGCAAGGCAATAAACCCACTAGGTCGCAAGAAGTTAATGATTGTTAGTAATTTTTCTCATATTCTCTATTAAGTAGAGAGGACAATAAAAGACCAAAAATTAAGAAGTAAGATAACGATTGATATGGCATTTAAATTTAGTTGCAATATAGACTATAGGTGGGCTCTGTGGGTGTTTTCTTTTAAATCATTTCTCCCCATGCAAAGCAGTAAAGTCTCTAAGACACAAGACATTAATGAGTCTGAAAGAATAAGAAAAAAAAAGAGAAACACTAAGGAGCAAGAACAATAAGACAGTAGATAATGATTGATATTGCATTTAAATTTTTGAAGACCAAAGCTGGCTGGAAAGCATGGCTCCAGAAGAGAGCTTTGAGAAGTGCAAGAAAAGAAACTGTTAGCATAGAACTTAGTTACATCTAGCCAATTCAAATGATGAGACTTTGCTGCCAATCTACTAATGCATTTAAATTCATAAAGACTAGGTACCTTAGTGCAATGTTTATCTGAACAGTTACCATGAAAGTATTTATACAAAAGGCACAGGGGAGGGTGTTGAAAAGTACAGATGTACCAGAACAGGTATCTGCAACAGGGATCGGCTAGTCACACCAGCAGACAGAAATGAGTAGCCTGGGATTATAATGTCATTTAGTCATAGCTAGTCTTTAGTACATGAAATAACCTACCTTGTAATGGTGCAGAGACAGTAATTACTTTGGTACCACCTCCATTAGCATTCGAGATGGTTGTAGACAGCTTTCCAACCACATTCCCAGCCAATTTCATAGAAGGCTGCATAGCCAGCCGTTGTATAACCATTGAAGAATTGGTGCCAAGCTTACCAGTGCTATTACAGATGATTTTGCCACCTTGACCAGCACTAATTACTAGATTCTTGCCCGATGCAGGAGTCGACACCAGCGAGGAAGATGATGCACTTGCTGCGGTCGTGCTGCCACAGGGCCATGTGACCTTCATGATGCTTGGAGCAACTGCTGATTCATTACCGTTCGATTTGGTTTTTATTACAAGAGCATCTGGTTTTACAGAAGTGAGGGACGTTCGGCCACTCATCTCCTGCATGTTAACGTCTCCATTTAGCGTAGCGGATGTGTTGTTTAAAAGTGAAATGGTTGCCCCCGAGGGCTTGATTTCTATAGTGGGAGTGTCACTACCACAGCTGCTTGTCGTCCCAGTGACAAGATCATGTGAAGATGAAGTCAAGCCTGAAGTCAGGCCTCGATTGTGACCAAATGTTTTATCAGTTTCCAATGTGATTTGAGAATTTGCAGATTGTATCAGTGATCCCGTTGTTGTTGCGGTCAGTGCCGTTGTTGTAGCTACAGCAATGGTGGACGTTGAAGTCATTGAACTTTTCTCAACATCGGAGATGCAGTTAACAGTTCCAGCAGTTTGGGAAACACCACCACTGTCTGTGGAGGCCGCAACGTTGCTGCTATTGCCACTCATCTGGTTATCAGTCACAACCTGGATTGGGACTACAGGCCGGCTGACCTCCGATTTTGCTGGCTCAAGCGATTGTTTTTTGAAGTTGTTTTTGAGCAAGATGTTTTGCAATGCTCGTCTGCAGAGAAACCACACCTGCCAGCCACTGAAATTACAAGCAAAAATAATTATACAAAATTTGTTTTGTCAAATTTAGCCATAAAGGTTCAGCTCACTCTCCAAGCAAATGTTAAGGCAGCGGATCACCCCCTAAGCAAGCGCCTAAGGCAGCGGATCACCCCCTAAGCAAGCGCCTAAGGCAGCGGATCACCCCCTAAGCAAGCGCCTAAGGCAGCGGATCACCCCCTAAGCAAGCGCCTAAGGCAGCGGATCACCCCCCTAAGCAAGCGCCTAAGGCAGCGGATCACCCCTAAGCAAGCGCCTAAGGCAGCGGATCACCCCTAAGCAAAAGCGCCTAAGGCAGCGGATCACCCCTAAGCAAGCGCCTAGGCAGCGGATCACCCCCTAAGCAAGCGCCTAAGGCAGCGGATCACCCCCTAAGTACCTTGGGCACCGGCTCACTATTGAAGAAAATATCAAGTACCAATTCACTCAGTAAGTATCAAACTAATATAGTGTAACTATGGTAAGTTTGGCCAAAAGTAATTTTAATCTTCTGTAATTAATACAAGCAATAGTAAATTCAACAATGAATGTTTGCAATTGAAGGATAGAATTTTTCTTTTCTTAAAGGTGATATCCTTTCAGGATGTAAGCAGTCATGGCTCCCCAGAGTCATTTGTGAATATCCATGACTTCTTAAGAAATATAGGAGTGATTTCCTGTTGCCTTCTCCATGGTTTGAAATTCAGAGTTGTCCTCTCTTAGACTGGCTGCCACTCAAGGCTATAAACTTCAATCTACTCTGTCACATACCCATGGCTGAAATAGATTTACACTTTTCCTAGAAGGTGTAAATCTATTAAGAATCTTTTCTTTATACAAAGTGAATGCAACAAATTTGTTCAGAATTTATATTTAGCTAACTAATTCCACTTCTCATACCAATCAGCTTACGCTATCCACATATCCAAAAATTGTATATGGTCACATTTTAGAAAAAAAAAATCATTCATCACAAATCCATTTACAAATGGTGAGTGAACAATTATTTTTAGAAAATAATCGTTCACTTGCCAGTAGTTTATTATCGCCCGAGAAGACATATTTGCAGTGCTGAAGCATAATTGCAGTTGTGTAGCGATGCTTAACATTTTTTTGTTTTGATATCCTAAAATAAATAATATTTAGTTCTTCTCTGTATTGAGCCCGTCCTTAATTAAATGTTGCGGACAGTGGAATTATACTTCATTTGTTCTCATTTAACTGGATGTGTGTACACTATCTTTTAAATGGAATTACTTGATAGAAGAAATGAAAATAAGAAATCTTATTAGCTCAAATTTAATTACATTGCTTTTCTGCTGTATATTTCATACTTGGCAGTTTTACATTAATTTCTATTTCTTCATAGTGTGTTTTTAACTTGAAACACACTGATTCATGCATATAGAGTCAATGAGCATCAGGAACTGTTATCACAGAAAATATATGGAAGGAGAAAAGAGAAAAAATGAAACAGAGTCATATTTATAAAGTTCCACCCAGAATTAATAGTAATTTTAGAACATCACAAACAAGACAGTCGCATTTTTGTAAAATCTCTAATAGCCATAATACTAATGACAATACAACTGAAAAAAAATATGTCACTTGAACTTTTCCTGATTTATTGAATACTGAAACTTTTGTGTCGGCTAATCAGATAAGTCCCTTGAATTTTTGTTGATGCATTGAATGATAGCCATCCTATTAAGCTCACAAATACTGTAATATTTTCAGCTAACATGTACAATTTCATATACAAATCCCAAGTAACATATTTTAATTGTACAGATAGACAATAAAAAGGGATCAATTAAAATGTCCAATCACCTCTTCCTGTTCTTCTGCAGTGGCTGCTTTCTGAACATTTCCTGTTGTCGTAGTCGGTACTGACTGAGGGGAGGTGCCATTGTTGGTGGTGGTGTTGCTGCTGCCTGGAATTGAACTCTGATTGGAGTTGTTTGTCGGCGGTAGTGTGGAAGCCAGAAGGGTTACTTCTGACACACGTGGAAGCAAAGGTGGTGGATTCATGTATAAATCTTTGATTGATGGAGGGATCTGAAACAGACAGACACATAATACTCTTTATAATTTTAAAAAAGAGAGCCACAAGTATAAATGTTGTATTTAAAGTTAGAAGACAGTCATAAAACCGCTAACTTTCCTCTGAAATCTGTTAATAAAACATGTATGTGCCTGTTTAAGCAAGTGTTAATTTACTGTATTTCCTGCTATACAATGCTTACTTTAAAAAAAATAAATATCATCTAGAAATCCCCTGGCATATGGTTTGGTGACTAACAACTATACACCCCAGAATTAAATATATAGAATCATAAATGATTAAATTATTATTACAAAACAATAAAGATACCTAAAGACAAAAAAAAAATTAGATTACATGTGTGTGGTTGACCAAAAAGTAATTTTAATGTTATGTAATATAAGCAAGATTCACATGAGAAGTTTAAAAAGTTAAAAAAAAAAATTTACCGCAACTGTTTTTCTCTTTGGATGTCGTATTTTTAACCGAAATGGTGGAGATTGTCTGTGCACCTTCTTAAGAAAGTTGATTTTCACAGCATCTATGTTGATATGACCTGAAAATTTTGTTCGAAGTTTCACTCTCTCAGAGAGACTCACAGATTTTAGAAGCTTCTCATCCTAAAAAGAAATAATACAAATTTTTATTACAAATTGATTTTTTTTTTTACACACACACTCAACCAGTTCATGATACAAAGTGATGATGTAACAATATTATCAATTTTATTATTAATTACACATTTTAATTTCTACTTAAAAATGGTAAAAGAAGGTTTATTGTTCCCCTGCTCTTCATACTTAACACATTGTGTGAAAATGGGTATAGTTCAAAATATTAGCTAATTTTTTTTTATTATACATACTGGTCTCTTCCTTGCATTCAAAATATGTAACAGCAACAAATCAGTGTGCATCTATTTACTTATTTATTTACCATCAAGTCATGTGTCACATATAGCCTCTTCTACTTTCAATTAGTTTACAAAAAAAGATTCTAATGTAGTGTAGTGAATTGCATAAATGTATGTTGTGTTATGCATATTTCAATTTATTTAATAATGTTGTGTATTATGAATGTTTATTATTTCTCACACACGTAATAGTTGGCATTTAATATGCAAGTGTTTGTTTATGTATGCAGATTGATATAAAAGTGTGTATTGAAAACAAATACCGCATTTCCTATTAAAAAAGCCATAAAAACAGCCCTAGCTAAAGAACACTTAGTGTAATTTTAATGAAAAAAAGGTTTTCTAAGATTATTAAGAGAGCAGTTTTTTTTTCTTGGCACATTGGAGAGATGTCCCGACCTACACAAATGTTGAAATTGTTTGTGAAATACAATTTTTAGTTTTATAACAAATTAAGAAAAATTAGATTTAATTTAATTTATGTGTGTGTCTAATTAGCATCAACTGCTCAGTTATTGCTTGCCCATTTCCACTGAGTTCAAGTACACAGTGCCCTGCCCAGGGATTGAACTCTCAATTACTATGTCACCAAATTCTTGAACCAACACTTTAATCTACTAGGCTATTACACTGTAGGAAACAGGCGAGAAATAACTGGGAAGTACTAAAAATAATGACTAGACAAGATACCCCTAGACACGAGCAGTAGAATGACAACAGTCTACCCCTGTACATTAAGTAAAGGGCTCAGTTTAGAATTCTTTGTAGGTTACCCAGATCAACATACACCTAATCAAGGGAAGTGGGTATGATAGCTGAAATACCGTGATAACAAAGATGGGGCCGATAGTACAAATATAAATATAATATATATAATGGTGAATATACTCCAATGGACAATGTGCCAGTAAAAAATTTTTTTTTAAAAAATATCAATGAACAGGCATTTCATTATTGTGTTGTATAACCCTCTCATGCTAGGAGGGCAACAGTGCCAATTTGATGATAATGTTGCATTCTCTCTCTCATCCGGCGATCACTAGTTGTTTTAGTTAACAATGAATGACATCAAACATGGAGACGTTTACCTTAACTGTTTTATTAATGTCGACATGTACTAACTATCCAGTGGGGAGTCATTCCCTCTCACTGGAGAGCTGTTTCAGACACAAAAAAGAACAATCTATATTGCTTGACCGTTACAACTCGACTCTCTGAAAAACTTTTCTCTATCTATCCTTCCTACGCTAGCTCAGCCAATCAAAATCTACTTCCTTATTTTGTCTTGTATCTGATCCCTAAGGTCAACCTCAGTAGGTCACAGCAGAGATACACTTCCCCCTAAAAATAATAGTCTGCTAAACTATTATTTAACAATTGCTGGCTCACATATCTTTATAATTTTGTAAATATTAAATTATTGTTGCAAATAAGCAATCTAATAAATAAATAGTGTTTAATATTTTTGTTTCCAGTTCTCAAGAATAAAGAAAATGTGTAAATTCACTTTCATGTGCTTGAGTTTTATTAAAATTCCAATCATTACTTTTTAAACAATAAACATTGCCCCCCCCCCCCGGGGGGGGGGGTTCAAAAGTGTATACTGTAATAGCAGTCTCAAAATCATAACCGTCCTTTTGGCATATACCTTTTTTTTTTGCAGGCATGAAGGTTAAACATTACCATTTTTTTTTTATTTGAAATGTCATGTCTCTTCAGGATGTAGGCGATCATGTTTTAAAGCAATAAAGACTTCTGAGAGAGTCAAAAGTGTATACTGTAATAACAGTCTCAAGGCCATGACTGTCCTTTTGACATACACCATTTTTTTTTATTACAGGCATGAATGTTAAACATGAACATTTTTAAAAATTTTAAATGTCATGTCTCTTTAGGAAATAAGCTTAGAACAATAAACACTGTTAAGGGAGTCAAAAGTGTATACAATAATAGTGGTGTCAAGAGAATAACTGTCCTTTCGTCATATGTTTTTTTTGCAGGCACAAAGCTTAAACATTGCCCTTCAATGTTTTTTCCTGACTGATATACTGCATTTCTCAGGTCTACCTATGATATTTCAGAATCATTCTTGACAGAAAACAGTTTGGAATTGCAAATAGTTTACAAAGAGTAAAAGGCTTTCTTTCTTGTCTTTCAACTTATCAACATCCTGAAGAGATTTACCATGATTATTACAAATGCCCCTTCACATTCATGCTGACATGAAAGAATTTAATTTTGTGATCTGACCAACACTCCCTCATTTCAAGTGAATATGTTAATGTTAACTTCCTGTTTGTTGCAACAATGAACAGTCAGAAATTAATCATATGATAATGACCAGAACAAGGTCATCTCCAGTTGGTTTCAAGGTGATTTGCTTGCTGAAATGATTGTATTTGTCACAAAGAGATCAGAATCACTGCAGAGAAACAAAGGCTTAAGCCTATTAGAAATGATTTTGCCATTACCATGTTATTTCTTTAATCATTTCACTCCAGGGAAAGCAATAAAGCCACTAAGACAGAGTGAAAGAATCTGCAAAAAATCATTATGAAGGAGAGAGGACAATAAAAGAACAGGTGGCAGAATATGGCTATTGACATTGCATTTATATTTCTGAAGATCAAAGTTGGCAAGAAAGCAAGAAACTGGAAGAGAGTTTCACAAGTGAGAAGTGTTGAGAAAAAATTGTTGCCATTTTATATTTTTAATTTTGCACATGTGTGTTGTTTTTGATTTTGTTGACTGCACAGTATAGTAAGGTCAGTTGGGCACCATCTTTGAGGAAAAGAGCACCATAATGCAATTCACTCCACCAGAAATTTGGAAATGGCATGATGTACTGCTTTTCGTATTCGCACCATAAGTTCCAATATAAACACTTCAGAGTGTTTGGGTGTCAATCTGAGGAGTCTAATGGTGATTATGAAGATTTTTGGAGTGATGACAGGGCCTCAGACTAAACACAAAAGCCTACATCAAGTGTCTTGAGGAGGTAGTACTGCCTTGGGTCAAGAGGGTAGCTGGCAACAGGTGTCTGCACCATGCCACAACACAAGCAGGAGAACCCAGCCATTGCTGTCAGACAATTTCTGTAACCACATAACCCCTCAGACTGCAACCCCCTTGATCATTATGTGTGGAGTGCAGTTGAAAGAGAGAGACCAACAAAACTCCTTGCAACACCAAAGATGAACTGAAGGCAAGGATTATGGTAGCATTCACCAACTTAAACATGGAGACCATCCAAAAGAGTTGCAGGAGATTCCGAAGTCATCTGGAAGTCGTGGTTGAAGCCACTGGCAATTTTATTGAATAAATGTAATCTTTAGTATTTCAAGATATTTTTGAGCAACTTTGGTAAATTTATCTGTAAAAATGTTATTTTCATTTTTGTGTAATTTAGATGGCAATTTATCCATTGCACCCACTGTGTGTGCGTATATATATATATATATATATATATATATATATATACTTTTTTTTTTATGTATGTATGTAAGCAAATATATGGATAAAAGATCCGACAGTATGAAGAAAAATATACAGAAAAAACAAACAAAAAATCCTTATATGCAATTATGCTGTTCTAATGTTAATATAATGTCAATATTATCGAACGTTTAGGTCTAATAAACCATCTTCAGGACATATTCATAAAATATAATTAACATTATCAATTCAACATGACAAAAGACTGTTTGGATAAGTTTTGAATATGTCCATCGAAGATGGTTTTGATTATGTTAATTAAACGTCCTGAAGATGGTGACATTATATTAACATTAAAACAGCATAATTGCATATAAGATTTTTTGTTTGTTTCTTCCGTATTTTTTTTCATATATATATATATATATATATATATATGAAGTCTGCTATTTGTTCATGCTTAGAATATTGCTGACACAATGTATGATGCTCCTACTATATATTTAGAGAGTCTTGATAAAATCCAAAGTATAATCAGTAATATTATTGGTCTTGACCTGGCATCTTGGATTCAGTTGAAATGGCAAGCCGTAATGTAGGTTCTATGCTAACAGTTTTATGCATTGCAACTTCTCGCTTGTAGAACTTTCTTCCAGCTCCATGCTTTCCAGTTAACTTTGATCTTCAAAAGTCTAAATGCAATGTCAATTGTTATCTATTGTCCTCTTTAATAATGTTTCTGTTTTCTATTCCTTCACACCCATTAATCCCTTGTGTCATAGTGGCTTTACTGACTTGTTTGGGGGTAAATTTGATTATTATATATATATATATATATATATATATATATATATATATACACACACAACAGTGATACTAACAATAAAATTTTCAGGGTGGTTTGGACACATCCATCGACCAGTGGGAAGAGTAGTCAGTGGTGGATCAAGACAGTCCATGTGAAAAAGGAGTGAGCAAAAATCACACTGGATTAGGGGAGCCTTCCGACAGCTTCTGCAATACAAAATGAAAATAAATATATATATATATATATATATATATATATATATATATATATTTAAAAAATAATATATAATTTTATATATCAACAAACATTATTTATAAAAATAGTATGACAAATTGGAAAAAAAGATATTGGGACGCATTTCATCAGTCTGGGCTTTGATGTTTCCATGTCAACACATACACAGGAAACAAGATGCTGGCAGCTTCAAAATTTTGCAATGAAGTTTTATCTGCACCCCCCCCCAATCAAGCCAAATTCATCTCTATTCTTTTTCTCAAAAAATTTTGAAACTACCACTGTCTCTTGTTTCGTGTGTATGTGTAGAGATAGCAAAATCAACAAAGCCCAGTCCGATAAAATCCTAACAGATGAAACATGTCTCAAAACCTTTTCCCAATTTGTCATACTATATCTGTCCTGAAGATGGTCTATTAGACCGAAACGTCTGACGTTGACATTAAACATTAAAACTGCATAATTGCATATTAAGATTTTTGTTTGTTTTTTCAGTATATTTTTCTTTATATATATATATATATATATATATATGAATCTCAATAAGCAGAATAAAAAAAAATAAAGTCACATAATATTTGTATTTTGAATGTTCACAAACAAATCTAAAAAGACAAACTTAAAAAATACAACACACACATCTTCTGGCAAGTCATAATCCGGCACAATTTCATCATTAAAATTCATGAAAGACTACATTGCATCAATTATGATCTCTTATTTGTTTCCGAGTTTTGAGTCGCTCTTGCTGACAACAGTTTCTTGCAAACAGTTTCTGAAATCATTTCCAGTGTGAACAGATCCATTTTAACTAAAATCAGAACAAAAAAGATTCAGACATATGGTGACTAAGGTTTAACAGTGAATTTTATCTGTTTTGGCACCACATGACTTGTAACAAAAACATCTATTTTGCATTAGTGTCACTGGAGAAGGTCTATACAATGGTTATTTCTTTATAAATTGCTAAATGATAAATATTGAATTAGTTTTTAGAATATTGTAAATGTATAAATATTCTTGCAAATAAAGAATCTAATAAACAGATTTTGATGTCAATTCTCAAGAATAAAGAAAATGTATAAATTCACTTTCATATATTTAGGCTTTATTAAAATTCTAATCATTACTTTTTAACCTTTATCACTCTGTATGTGACTTTATTTGCTGTACAAAAAGTTATTCCTGCCACTGAAGGCTACTGATGCCTGAACAATAGTGTTTGAATTTCATAGTTGTGTTGTCATATCCTGCTATGGCAACAGAAAACAACTTTCAGTGAAATTAACAGTAAGGATACAGAAAAATTGATAGAACTTGAAAAATAATGCAGTAGAAAGGAAAATATTAATAATGCAGAGTGCTAAAGGTTAAAAATAACATTGCCGAAGAGTCACGGTTATCCATGTTTGCTGAGACATCATTGGAAAAGGCCATGGTAAGCATTTGGTAAAATAGTAGTTAGTAGCAGTGTAATACATCAAAGCCCCTCCCCACTCCCACCTTCAAGTACAAACTTTCAGAAACCAATTTAGGAAAAACACAAAGATAAAAAGTTACTAACTTATTACAGGCAAAACAAAGCTTTGCTGGCAAAGGGACAAGTCCATTATCCAATTCGTGTGGCAGTTTTTTAGGAGGATTTCGACTGTCCTTTGACCATTTCCGCTTACTTGTACCTGGACAGAAAGAGTTAAAAAAATGTGTCAAATATACAATATGAACATCAAGAGACAGGAGTATATGAAATGAAATTTACATCCAGGTTCTTAGATTTCACAATTTTTGACAGTTCTATTATCACAATATGGGATATTATCACAATATGGGATATTATCACAATATGGATATCACAATATGGGATGTTTAATAACAAAAGTGATAAAAACATAAGGAAACTTAATGAAATCAACTAGATACCATGTCAACAAAAAAAAAAAAAAAAAAAATTTTAATTTAAAAATTTTACAAAAATGTATAGAAAGTGCTTTAATTGCTGTGGATGACACAGTAAATTTATGTCCAGGTTTTTAGATTTCACTTTCATTGGCAGATCTCCTATTATCACAATGTGAGGTATTTAATGACAAAAATGATTAAAACAAAACCATAAGGAAACTGAATGGTTCAGATGGGTTATTTTACCATCATGCCAACCACACAGGTCATTTCATGCTGAATCGGGTAGTTTTAAGATATGATTTTTTTGTCTATTTTGAAAATTCTTTCATAAGTCATTATCATAAGGGTAAGGATGTAATTAGTTTTAGTTGTGTTTTGTGAAACTGAATGAAAATAACTAGACTCCATGCCCAGACATGTCTATTTAAAAAAAAAAAAAAAATTATTTAAAAATCTTACATTTCTGCATTCCAGCATCATCAAGGTTCCCTATTGGTGCATAATTATAACCCTTCCTACATATATAATTCCATCAACAAAAACATTACCTTAATCTGATGAAGTCCTTCAAGAGGATGTCACACTTTGTCATTCACTTCCCTACCATCATTCTGATATATAGAAATTTATATATCACATTCTCCCAGAATGTGATATATAAATTTCTATGTATCAGAACAAAAAGTTGTTATGCAAATCATGTAAACCTTTCAATAACACCAATTTACTTTGAAAAATCTTTGTCAAATTTTAAATGATTGATTTAAATGGCAAGACAAAGCTTAAGTTGAATTTTCAGGAAATTTCAACATGCAGTATTTATTTTTATCATTTATGTAATTTCAGATGGACAGCATGTCGTAAACATACAACTCAACCTTTGTCCAAGCTGTCTACCGACCAGCCAATAATCACCCTCTGTTTGCACTAGAATCAAAAGGGCATGCGCGGCTCCGCTTTGCACCAGAGTCAAAAGGGCAGGCGCGGCTCCGCTTTGCACCAGAGTCAAAAGGGCAGGCGCGGCTCTGCTTTGCACCAGAGTCAAAAGGGCAGGCGCGGCTCCGCTTTGCACCAGAGTCAAAAGGGCAGGCGCGGCTCTGCCACATGTACAACAAAAGAAATAAGATAAAGAGTACTAAAGGGAATGATAGAAGACCAAAAAATTTATAGTAAACAAAACAAAAGTTTTATTATAATTTTAGTAGTTATGGTCAATAGCTAAAAAGGTAAAAACATAAAGGCTTACTGGCAAGAAGATAAAAATACTAAAAATTAACTTCAGTCAGGCGTTGCTGGGTTTTTGTAGTATAATTTACTTGTCAGTCACTTAATTTTGGTGCGAAAATGAAAAACCTCCACTTTGTAAGGTCATCTGACCACATCAAAGAGTTCTTTGAAGTCTTTTGTTGCAAAAATTGGTTGGAAGCACACACAAGAAAAGAAAGGTAGTACAAATCCAATAGGTTCACTAGGCAAAACAAATCCACATTTCTTGCCTCGATCTCCAATACGCCACTCACGGTCACAAACAAAAAACTAAACGCCTCTTAAATGGGCATACCATGTTTTATACACCTAGTCAACACAACAGCCAATGAGTGCCCAGAACCAGACAATAAAAATGGCTACAAGTGACACCACCACCTCTATCAGCACAAAGTGCTGTCCGATTCACCATCCGTTTGAAGTTTGTCGATTCGCTGTCTCCACACTCCCTTGCAAAACATACATGCGACTCTGGCCCTTTTGGGTCGCCAAGGTAAGTCACTGCTGCATCTTTTACCTAAATGACTCCTAACTTAGAAGTTTTTATAAAAATAAATTCTCTTAACAGGCACCACTTTGCACAACAGCCAAAAAAGATAAATGTGGCACCTCCTATGATACAAACATTATGGTGGAAACTAATTAATCAAAGATAATTTTAAGCCAATCAAAAGAATCTGCTGATACCAAAGAACAATGCACTCATAGAAGTAACCAGCTCCTTTACATTAGAATAGAAAATTTACCTGGAAGTGGTTCTGTACAAGTTATTTCCTTTGGAAGCTCAAACTGAGTGGGGTTTGAATAGCGTGCTGCCTTGGCCAGCACCAACAGAGGATGGCAGTCTTCAAGGATCTCATCAGATTCTTCATCCACATCCATTCTCTCATTTTCTTTTTTTGCGTCTTCCTAAAAAAAAAAAAAAAAAAAAAAAAAAAAAAAAAAAAAATAATAATAATCACAATATGAAATATGTTTGACAAAAATGCTGGAGATCACAATTTCTCTACAAAGACTTACTGAGTGAACAGACTGATAAAAATAATACACAGTTTAAGATTAACAAAAAACAAAAAAAACAAAACAGGGTATCTATTTCAAACATGAGTATCCACTAAAAATAATTTTGAAGTAATGAAAATGTCAGATTAAAATATTGGTGGACGTCATGTTTGATATATGAGAGTCAAGCAGCTCAGTTCCTAGGAACCAACAGCCAGACACCAGCACAAAAAAATTTGATTATAGTGGTGAAGGCTTTATGCAGAACCATCCACACATTTTGAAGAGCTGAATACAGAGACCTGGTGCACTCCGTGCCACAAGGTCTCCAAACAAGCCTCTGCAGGTTTTGAATTCAGAGGTGTCCTTCTCCTAGACCAGTTGTCATCCAAGGTTATAGAATCCAGTCTGTCCTACTATTTAACCATAGCTGGAAGGAGAAGAGGATTAATACTTTTCCCAAGGGTATTAGTGCGTAAGTGAATGTAATGGATTCGACTGGAATTCGAGCTTGGTTCTTCGATTCTTCAATCCGAGTCGCTATCTACTACTTCACCATTATATATAATCTTTGTAGATAATGTATTTCTCTAAACAGATCCAATGATCATTGTGTAAGCCTAAGCAAAACTCAGCATTTCAAATGCTGATTTTTCAAAACAGGCCAACCATATTTAGTTATATATATATATATATATATATATATTAATGCCCAATAAGTTCATTACTATCAATTCACTGCAGGAAAGTTCACAGCAAAAGGATAGAAACAAAAGAAGTTTTTAATGAGTTATATAATTTTATTGATCAATATTTGGAATTTTTTTGCATTAAGAATAAACAAGGACTAACTGAAATTCAAATTGAACAGGACATGGCTGGAGATGTGCTTTAAAAAAAAAAGAAAAAAGAAAAAAAAAGAGAACGGAATGTCTATGCTACTTCTGCTGGGCGAATTCAAAGACTAGTTCTGATTTACAACAAAGATAATTGTACCCTGACAACTTGTGAGGGATAGTGTGCATAATATCAGTTATTAAAAAAACCCAAAAAAACCCGGGTTTAATTATTAAATTAAAATGCATAATCAGTTATTTACTTTTACCCTATTTTAGAAATGTTTTAGATACATTGAACAATAACATTAGAAACCATTAAAAAATTGTTAATTTTTATCCTTTTATGGTGAGCTTTCCCAGGTTTTCTCAGGTTAAAGAACAAATAGAAAATGTTTATAAATCTAACAGTTCGATTTTATTTTAGCTTCATTGTAAAATTAAATATGGAGGAAAGAAAATTCTGGTATTTTTTATTTTTGTGTTGCTTGTTTTTCATTGGTCAAGTTGACCTCACATTTATTTGTCTCATCTAGTAGTATTTGTGTGTATCATAATTCTAGTTGATTTATGTGGGAGTTGGTTGATAGTGAGTGAGTGTGTGTGTGTGCACGCGCCTCTGCATCTAGTGGGCATTTTTTTAATTTTATTTATGTCTGGTAGTGTCCATATGTTGATTGGGGGATATTTTGCATGAGAGGGAAAGAATTTAGGTTACACCGGTTGTGGTTGTAGGAAGACAAATCTTTCATTCTGTAAGTATGTATATTATAATAGTTGGTGATGTAATAAAAGTGTGTTTGACATGTGTTTATTGGTGGGAAAACATTAATCAGGATTCCTTTTACATATTTTCTACATAATAAATTATGTTCTTTTCTAATTACAGTACATTCAGGGACAATATATTCATATATCTTAACTTACCTCAGCAGCCAGTAATGAACAGCGATGACACACCCATTCACCAGATGGAACATCATCTTCAGTAAGTGGTGGATCACTTTGGGACAAAAGGAAAAAATATTAGATAAAAGTCTTACAAATATATCCTCACAAAGGAAAGCAATTGTTTTTAAAGATGTAAAAACCCACCTGTTTTTGTTTCTTTCATAATTTAAAAGAAATTATCTTCAAATTATCCTTATAGTATACATCTGTTCGTCATTCTTTTTAACCATTATTTGAAATTTTGATATCATTACAGGTTTGTAAATGTAAGAAACTTTTTCAAAAATTTATAAACACATTTTAATACCAGTGTGTTTGGCTGGTTTCTGCTTAACAATTTTCAATCACTATAAAATTATTAAGGGTTTGAATTGTTTTAGAGATAACTTGATGCGAAATGTGGATCAGTGATAGTTTTAGGTACAGGTTAGTTGATAAAAGTCTTGTTTTTTTTTTCTTTTTAGTTATTTTGTATTCAGTTTCTGAAACAAATTGGTTATAAGAGCTTGCATTGTTATTTTTAGTGTGGATCTTTATGAAGGTTTCTTTTTTCATTTGTTTTTTTTCAGTTTTCAAAATATATTAATGGTTTTATGTCGTTCTGTTAGGCGTTTTACAATTTTATATTTTGATATAAAATTTGATTTCTTTTAAGAAGTTAAGGATTTTGTTTGGCTTAGTGTTTTAAAAGAGTTCTTTTTCATTGTTTTCTTGATAACATTTTGTTTGGGTTTGACTGAGATGATGGCAACTTATGAGTATATATTTGACTGTGAGAGATACTTGACATCTGTCACATGATGGAGGATTTTTTTTTTTTTTGAGATGTGTTAGATGTGCATGTTCAACTCGGAATCTAGATAAAACTATTCCCATCTTATTTTTATGAAATCTCAAAGCCATTCTCCTATAGTTGGTTTATTAGATTTTAAGTCCCATGTCACTTGCCATTTTCTTTTTTTGTTTCCGAGTTTGTTTCAGGCCTCTTTTTGTTGGTTATTATCATGTTGAGTGTATATATTTTTCTGATGGCTATTTCATTGCCCGGTATGCAAACATGACTTGGAATCCAGACTAAGATAACTGATTTTTGGGATTTAACTATTTCAATATAGGTTTCTATATGTCCAAGATGTATGGATGTTTGGACTCTCCTTCTTTCAGAGCTACAAAACTTGCTGGAGAGTCTATGGATAGGAGGAATTTCTGGATGTAAGAGTTTTTAATGAGTTCAAGTGCCATCTTAATGGCCTGTAGCTCGGCTGTAAATATGGAAGACTGATTTGGTTGTATATTATAAAACACCAGAAGACCAATAAAAAAGACAGAGCCCCCAAAAAGCCAAACCTCTCTATACCCATGAACCCTCCTACCCTACCATTCTGTGGCTGCAGACATCTCTTTAGACCCAACATAGGACTCATTTCGAACAGATGGAAATGTTGATGAGCATACAATACTTGGCAACAAGTTCCACCAAAACGAATTAGAATCCAGGCTAAGATTAATGGTTTTTGTGATTTAACAATTTCAGTATAGGTTTCTAGTATGTCTAAAATGTATGGATGTTTGGACTCTACTTATTTCTACAAGACTTGCTGGAGAGTCTATGGATAAGAGGAATTTCTGCGTGTATGAGTTTTTAATGAGTTCAAGTGCCATCTTAATGGCCTGCAGCTCGGCCGGAAATATGGAATCTTTATTTAGCCATCTAATCTGTTTGTCAGACTGTCTGTGGCTGCTGCTCCCATTTTATTTGAGATTTTAGAGTTATCACTATGTACAGCTTGATTTTTGTGATGTCTGTAGTAAATATCTTATGAAAAGTCAAGAGGAATAGCATAAATATTTATTTACTGTTTTCAACATCAACAAGAAAATTTAAATTAAAAAAAAAAATAATAACTATAAAAGTTTCCTTGTTTTCGAATTTAAATTTTCTGATAAATCATAATTCTCAGGCCAATGATTGAATAAGCTCCTTGCAAGTTTCTCAACCATAAAATACCCATGATCAGAAGATTGGAGGTTTTGAGGAGTGTGAAACCACCTCTTAATTGCTATTGTTCCAAGGTACACCCTAAACCAGAGTGGTAGCACCTGTTAGGATCCCAACTATGGGAAAATAGTTAATCCCCAAACTGGAGTCAAGACACTATAAAAGTATAAAAATACCAGCAATATATATTTTTATAGTAAAAAAAACTACCAGCAATACATTTTTGTAAAATGTTCCCAAGAAAATTAAATTTCACCATTAAATGACACATAAGGAGTTGATATGCTGCTAAACAAACAATATTGATTTTTGTGATTTAAGAAGAAAAAAAATAAAGAGTTTAAGTGTTAATAATGCATGTGATGTAATCAATTTAAAAGCCCAATCTTAACCAACTGTTTTTTGTAGCCAAGTATACAAACTTAGCTGGTAGAACAAGTAGAAAAAAAAAACCCCAAAAACAAAAAGGTTGTGAACTTTGGTTACTATTTAAAGCTTTTTGTTACAAGAAAATAAAAAAAAATAGATTGTGTACAAGCATATACTAAAAACACAGTTATGTAAAAATAGCCAACATGAACAAGAAACAATTTTCCCACATAAATTAAGAAAAGATTATGTGAAGATTTTTTTTCATACCAGAGACACAAAAATCTACCAGATCAATTTTATATAGATTTTAAATGTAGACTTGAAACAAACTTGAGATTTCAAGATGAGATATTTTTCTTTTAGCTACATACAGGCACTTTAAAGGAGTAAAAATAAAAAAAAAATAGCCAGTAGATTTCAATATCTAATAACAACAATCACAGAGGAAGAAAAATTTATTGTTTGTCAATATTTCTGAAATGAGGTATTGTAATTATTTACACTATCTCCATTGTTCGAACGGTTGTCCTCATCCTTGTTGCCATATTCCCAATATTTCGGCCATTATATGCTCCAGTTTTCTTCAGGTGATTGGAATTTTGAACTGAACCCTTTATTTCATCCAAGGACACATGGCCCAGTGGATAAAAGTGTTGGCTGGATCTAGTGATTTGACCCAATGAGTTTAGAGTTTAATACCTGGCTACTGCAGAAATAAACAAAAACTTGGAGAGTTTTGTTACAGGATGATAACCGAGACATCCAGAAGAGGCATGGCACATGGAACTAGAAAAAATCTACCCTAATGGACGAAATAAAGGGTTCAGTTCGAAATTCCAATAATCTGAAGAACGCTGGAGCATACAATAGCTGAAACATTGTGAATATAGCAACAAAGATGGGGACAACAGTCCAAACAATGTAAATAGTGTAAATAAATTTATTGTCTGTCTTTTTGAAAACAGATTCTAATTTTCAAATTTACTGAATTGTTAAAAATAAAATAAATATCAAATGATATCAGTCAGAGTCTATTTTAACTAAACAATAGAATAAGTTAGTGTGTATTGTAAATAAATAACAGGACTGCAGACTATTTTTCACTATCAACCCAGAACTGTCCCAAAAAACAATCTTAATTACCCAAAAAAATCTTTAGACCATTCTGAAATTAAAATACATTTTTTTAAAAAAAATTATCCTTTATAGTTGTTAGTAGTATAATAAAAATCAACTTTAAATAAATATTTATTTCAATTTGATTGTTTTTAGCAGCATACCAGCCCATATGGGTTATTTAATGCTGAAATCTAAAGATAAAAATTTAAGGTTTATAATTAATTCAAGAGAATGAAGTAGACAAGATATCCTAAATATGGGCAGTGGAACGAGAACTGTCTACCTCTGTAGATTAAATAATGGGTTTAGTTCAGAATTCACCGTAGGTTACTTGGATTGATATACACCTAATGAAGTCCGTGGGCGGGGCACAACAGCTGTAATGTTGTGATAATAACAAAGATGAGGACAATAGTCCAAATTTAAACAAGTCAAGGGTTGTTCATCATATTGTTAATAAGTATATGTAATAGGATAGTTATTGATGTTTTTTTTATTTTAATTTCAGATCAATAAAGATTGCCATGATTTATAAGAAACATGACCTCAAAAAGAGAAAATTTTGTAAAACTGAGTGATGAGAACACAACATTGGAAATTGCAATAAAAAGTTAGAGCTTAACAATTAAAAAAGAAATTGAAAACATTTGTCAGATAAAAACAAGAAAAACTGACATCACAAAAGAAACCTGTACGTTGGGTGAAGAAGTACTTGAAAACTGATTTCTCAACATTCATTTTTTAATGATGAATTTAGAGCTAGATTGGGGGAACCTGACAGCTGACGTAGAAATTGCATTCTCCATAGAAAGTCAATCAACATAATTTCGAAGACAACTAAGAGACAGAGTAATATTTTGGGTTAGTAATGTTGGCACTAATATTATAGACCCCCTTCAAAGGCTATCGTCCTCATCTTTGTTGCCATATTTGCCAATGTTTTGGCCGTTGTACGCTCCGGCCTTCTTCAGGTGGTTGGAATGTCAAACAACCCTTTATTTCACTCGCTGGGGTAGACTGTTCTAGTTCCACGTGCCATTCCTAATGGATGTCAGTTATCTCCTGTTAATTCACCTCTCCAAGTTCTCCACTGCCTTAACCAGGTATTGAACTCACCCTGTCTTTGGATCTAACCAATTAATGGCCAAAACATTGTGATAAATGTGGCAACAAAAATGAGGAAAATAGTCCGAATAATGTAAATAGTGTACATTGTTATGGGGTCCTCCCCTTTTTCATATAAGTGGACTCGACCAAAGTGTTACTTGGACTGCTGCCGTTAAATACCCAAAGTTAGACAGTCAGTCATTGAGAGCGAGTTGAGATAGTAGAAGACTGAGATTGTGATTGAGTTGGAGGTAGAGTAATAGTGTGAGGTAACCGCTTGTAGAAGTCAGTTACAAGCACGTAGACTCTAAGAAAGTCCTACTTCGAGACTGTATATATCTATATGTTATTGCTACTAACCGCGTTCCTGGATTTACTAACAGTATTACCCTTTGTATTATTGTGTAAATACATTTAATTTCTTATCTTTAATTCTTGCGTTTGTCATTTATTGG